CTTAGAAGACGCAATAAGTTAATAAGCGGAGCCACAAAGTTTCGCGCGCTGATCCGCGCGCGGTTTCCCGTTTCCCGTGGAACAGATCCACCGACCCCTTGGACCGATTATTATCGCGATACGCGATTTACCGAGCATCCCGCCTCGTCCCTTTAAACTTGTTTGCCCGTCCGCGTCATTTCAGTCGCTTTCGATCCTTTTTCCCTGGGAAATAAATGATCGTTACACCGACTTCGTAACGACTTTCGAGAGCCATCGAGTATTCCTACGGCTGCAAATCGAATCGGACCAGCGATCGCTGCCCGACCATCGAGATCTCTCCGTTACTCTCCGTTCCTGTCAATCCTCGGCCATGGGTTCGTGAAAATTGTTCGACTCGACGTGGCTTCGACGTCGTTAAGAACTGACAGCTCGATCGGACAGCGGAAAAACAGCGCGTATCCCCCCGTACTCGAGATGCAATTCCGAACGAGGATGGCTGGAACGACGCGGAAACGAGTAATCACCGGGAGCAGCCAATAATCGCGGCCTCGACTGGCAAAGCGGCCACGCCGACACGTCGCTAATAGGTAAACACACGTGCATAAATACACCTTTGCACGCGTGATCGTGAGACACGACCGGGCCCCAGGAACCGTGGATGTAGTTCCGTGGCTGCTTTCCGGCCGAAGTAACATGTAACGTATGATCTGTAGCGGCATCGAGGAGACACGGGAAGCTTATACAGGCTGGTGCAAGCTTAAGGCGGCTAACCTAGTGTTTGCACGTCACGTTACACGAATGTTACGTATCGTGACGCGACAGCGAGCGTGTGGCTTAACGATCGGGGTGGTTTAAGCGTGGATAATTACGACCGAATACGTCTGACGCGACATCGTCTCGCGACAGGTCGACGGTGAGGAAAATATTGCGACGATTTTCGGACGGCTCAGCGAACGGAGCAGTCCTTCCCACCGATTCCTGGTATTACCTGCTGTAATTCTAACGCGCGCTTTCGAGGCTGTTAGCGTAGCGTTAGCCGGATTATTCGAAAAGTTCCCGAAGCGTCGTCGGTGTGACGGGAGCGTATTAGGTGTCTCGAACGAGTTTCGCGGAAATTTACGCGAATAATTCCCGCGCTATCAGCCTAACGACGCGTCTGCTTTAACGACCGCTGTTCGCTGTCGCGTTCTCGCGAGGGAAAGTAACTTTTTCGCCGTTTCGGATACCATAGAAAGTTTCGTCGAAGTAGTCACGCGATGTTTTCCACGCCCACCCTCTCTCGCGAGGAACGGTTCTCTTTAAAGGCCCCCTCGTCTACCGCGTTGCCCGACGTAATACCAGTTTAGCCTGTGTCAACCACGACGGAAGAACTTGGAAACTTGACAATGAATTTAGTTACGCTTCGTTGCTCCACGATCTAACCACTTACCTCGTCTCAACTTCTGACCGCCGAAGACATTAGCAGAAATAATCACGGGCAGATGTTTGCTCGTGAAACACCCTTCCGATTATCAGCTCCGCGACAGGATCGAAGCGTGGAGAGGTGCACACGTGGGCCGACAAGCATAGCGTGCGAGGTGAAGCGACATTAAGGAGGCGTGAAAGGCATGCAGAGGATTAAGCCGGTTTAAGGGCTCCAAGGTGGTGTTTGCACGTCGCGTAGCTGCTACCTGTAACCAGCAAAGCGAAGCACGTGCATTAGCGGTATCGGCGTGATTAGTAATTACCCGATGACAGTGCGCGATACGTCGATGAATAAATAGCCTGATTTCGTTCGCGAAGAGAACTTATTTGTCCGTTTATTCGCGAATCTCTGAAAGCGCCGACAACTGTCCCCGAAAAGCAATTTGTCCACGAACCTCTGGGACAGCCGCCGACGTCATCGTTTGAAACACGTAGCGTCGGACCATTAATTCCGAGTCACCAGCAGAGCCGGGCATAATGAATGCCTTAGAAAGGAAAAAGAGATCGAAATACACGGAAAAGACGACGGGACAGCGAAGCGTGCGGTCAGGATCGTGGAGCGAAAAGCGTTACGCGAAATTAGGCCAAGTACGGAAATTAGAAGATGATTTTACCGCGATAGGATAATCAAATTATAGAAATTTTTATCGCTCGTGTGAGCGTCGCCGATATCTCGGAGGAGAGCCTACGAATCGGTTTAACGCTGCGTGTGAGATCGTCGATACCTTAAATACAGCCTGACACGCCGCTAATAGAGATAAATTACTTGTTCGGCTAATGGGAATGACAATACGATTTGCGGCGAGGGTAAACGAGCGGTGGATCGAAGCCGGTGTTCCAGCCGATACGTGATCAATTCGGTGGCTCGTACGGCTCCGTGAACGAAGACGTATAAAAATGGTCGAAATTTGCGAGAAATGGGCAATGTCGTTGCATTGCATTTAAAACTAAATACTGAAATAAAGTCTACATCCTAGCGATGTGGGGGCAATCCCTTCCCCTGCGTTTTGTCTTTTGTCTCCCGTTTCCTGGCGACGTCTTGTAACCTGCGTGACCCTAAACAGACAAGCCAGTTCTAACCGTTCGTCCGTTTAGTAAACACCTGTACAGTTTTTCCACCGTTTCCACTGACTACTATCTCTCTGCATTACAACTCCTTAACAAATGTCCTTTTAAATCGAACTCGTATACATATCAGAATAGACGCTGTTCGAACGACAGAATGAAGTTCCAATATACCATCCTCGTTTCGCAGTTGAATCGAGATAATTGCATCCCGCGACACGTATGCTATATAAGTCGACGAGTTTCCATCGTTTCGTACCCTTTGTGAACATTTGCACGCTTGGAAACATCTGGGAACTAATATCTCGGTAACAAACTAACGATGTATGTACATCGTAATCCCTGTGCATTGATTATCCTATCGCTGTAGAATTATTTACGCAAATGTAGCTCACCCATCGGGATTGTGTCGGTGTTACCCTGGAGATTCGATTACGTGACACATTATTGGATAAACCACCGTGAATTACGCGTACAAGCTTGATGAAGACGTATCTTACAATGAACGAGGAATCCGTCTGTCCCTACCCGACAACCTGCGAGTGCGTTTACGTTTCCCTATTTCTTCTCGAGTCTGGAAGAAAATCGGTCGACGCAACGACGTGTGACTCAACTACGTATAACGCTCTCGTGAAACGCGATAGCTCGATTTCAGATGCAGCATTGATTGTTCGTCACATATTGATCAAGCAAACCTGACTAACTCGTGGTAGGAAAATTTGGATTTTCCGATACGGTCGAATTTCGGTTTAACTCGGAACGTGCTCGATTCGGACACGTTTTATTTCGCGAATGGCAAAGGGGAAATTCTGGGTTCCCGTCCGTTTAGTTGGAAAAGAAATGTACAGAGAAAAATAAAGGTCGGGGTATCGGGAGGAAGCGATTTTAAATCTGACAAGAGCTGAAAGAGCACACACCGAGCGCACAGGCTCGTACTCGGGAAGGCTCGTGGGGAAGATAGGACCGGAAACTCACAGTTAGTTACCTCAATTTCCGTTTCGTTTAATTGTGCTAGAACGACACGCGTTGCACGGTCGGCGGCGCTCATACGAAGGAATATACGCGATATGAAACGCAAATTATCGCGAATGGATTTACCGGTGTGTACCGTTCCCAATCGTATGATTAAGGATGTTTGACGAGTGGAAATTACCTGACAACCGATTAATAGAATATTGAGCAGCGTTCCGAGAATAACCATCGTATGATGGAGCGAATGCCGATTGCCTTACGATTCATCGAGCGTGTAATAACGCTTATCTAACGTTACGTCGAGAGTTTTTTCGTTAAATTAAACGCGACGTGACATTACGGTGTACGCTCCTGAACGGCAGTAGTTAGAGTCAATACCCGCGACACGTGATTACTTCGAACAACTTTTGGCACGTACCCCTTTATTCGCGATAGTGGTCAAAGTCCGCGTGTTACGCTCCACAATGTTGGTTCCATGCAAACTAACAACACAAAGTAGTCACCGTCCTCGTTCTCGGCATATCCTCTCTCCCTTAGGAGCCAGTCAGTAGACCAAGTCAACGTATGACGCGACACAAAACACGTAACACGCGGAACAGTTCCTGTTCCGTATCAGACTTCGTGTAAACCATGCAGCTCAAACACGGTGAGGAACAATCTGGCAAACAACCAGTCTTTTGACTCGCCGGCGATAAACGGGTCGCGAAACGGAGAAGTAACCATGCTCGTGACGAATATTCGGGAAAGCCGTGTCAGACCCAATAGTAAGGAAAATCAAGCGAATTTGTGAACGAGGACGAAGGCGAGCCGGCGAAAATGGCGGAGTCATTAAATCGCGAGAAGAAAGGACGACAAAACCGTGGGTACACAATAGTCTTCTAGGTTGGCAAGGTCGATATAGAGAGTCACGGCGAAGGATTCATCGGCAGGAAGCCAGGGGAACGATAACAAACCCTCTATTCAATGGCCTGGGAGGAGGATCTCGGAACACCATTGACGATATAGAAGATATCTGGAATCGGTGAGACGTACTTTGTATTCTGGCACTAGCTCGAAAGATGGTCTGCGTACGAGTATAATCGTTTCAAAGATCTCCGAGATCCAAGCGAAATGGAGGAGGGGTGAGAATGGACAGCGTTTAATACTTTTAAGACGATTTTGTTCCCTAGTCTCTGGATGTCTTTGACATTCGACGCCGATTGAAATCAAAGATCTCACGGAAGCGAGATCTTCGACGGAATTTTAGAAGAAAAAAAAAAAAGGAAAATGGTTTCGAACGACGCAGAGACTACCGTATTTCATTCGATTTCTGTCTGGACTAATTGCCACCGGAGCGGAAGCGAATGAATTTCATTCACGCTGATTTACGAATTTATTGCCGTAATTCGATCGATCACGATTAAACATCCGTGCCGATACAATAGCGACAACGACGAGCAAGATTTATTAATCAACGATAAAATAATAAACGCTTTGCGAATGATTACGTAAAATTTCGCAACGGACTAACCGGCGCATCGCGGAATAATTACAGATGAGTCTATTTAGTTTTCGATCATCGGGACTGGCTGTTCGCAAGCTATACTTTTCCCCTCGTGGCAGCAAATTGGGTCCGTAGCTTCCAAACCGGTGAATTTCCAGATGATCGCGTCGCACACTTTCGCGTACACTGCCACCTGAAACATATTTCGCGTTTACATTTCTCGCAACGAAACATCCAAACTTCCATCCACTTTTCAAACTCGATCTTTTGGAAAAGCTACCTTGAGGTTCTCCACGTGCGTGCCCAATTTCTCGCAGATCATTTGCGGCGCCTGCTCTCTCGCGCTTTCGGCCTGCACAGAATTACACGTATCTTTCTGACGTTCACCAGACATAGTATCGGACATATCGTAATTATTTACTGACCAAAGCGACGCACAATTGTTGACATTTCTCCTCCCCTTCAGCATCGCACGTGACATTACATGGAATAGAGCGTTCGATGATTGATTTCGATATTTGCGTGGGAAACACGGCGCATTTGCAGACTCCTTCCGCGACGACTTCTTGACTAAAAAGAAAATTCAAAATTAGACAATCATCACGAATCACGCGATCATCTGCCTAAAAGCTAGACTCTGCCTAACTAAATCTTTCCGACTCTCTCGAGTCGTGTTTCGATGGTTTCGAGACGAATTCGAGATGAGATGATCCGCGCACGTTCTCCGATATTTTTATTAAAACGAAATAACGAGCGTAAGAATGAAAGTGTTCGTTACTTTGTCAAAACAGCGAACAACAAGATGACGTGCAGGAAGCAAATCATTGCGGTTCGACGACGTTTCGTTGATTGAAATCGATACGAGCTTAGATCGGACTCCGCGTAACAGACGAACAATTGAGCGAAGCTCCACATTTATACTCTGCAGAAATCCCTACCATCGGTGCACCTGGTACATGTTTGGTCACACGATACAATTGTCGTGCTCGCGATATCTTGTGGATGTCTCAAATTTTTCATCGATAAGTTATGCGTCGCGTTGTAACGCGAGGAAGAAACGAGTCGGTGTCGAATGCGCGTTTAAGTTTGTACAGACAATGCGTCGTTCTCGATGAATGTTAAAAGACATTCAGGAATCGAACGACTAAAATATTTCACTTAACGTGATCCGCGTTGCCGGTAATGCACGCTTATCATTTAAACTGTTTAATATATGAAACTCGAAAGCACACGCGGATACAATGTTATCAGATATTTACGTTGTTTGCAAATTATGTAGAATTTCGTGGCGAACGGTTCTCCTGGAGAATGGACACAATGGAAATTTTCGTTCCCCCGATGAACATCGCGAAAATTTCAGGCGAATGAATAATACGGAGAAATGTAAGCAAGTAAAGGTGTAAAGAAAGAATAAAAAATGAGGAAAAATAATTCGATAAAAGGAAATTACTCGGAGCAAAAGTGATTATGAGACTTAGCAGAGAAAAGCTGATCCGATCCTAATTGATTAGTAGACCGTTGAGAAGAAACTGTTTTATCCAAATAACCATGGGTTCGTGACTCCACGGCCTGAACAGAGCAAATTTATTCACCATTTAAGCGACAAATAATTATTTCTGATTTAAACGTCAATCCATCATGGAACCCAATGGAAAGCTCATTTTCCCCCGGCAATTTCCTATCTGTAATTACTTTCCCTGCTCTTGTGCGCGACTAAGACGGGAGATCTTCGAACTTATTAAGAGAAAATGATAAAAAAAAAAGTAAGGAAAGAGGAAGAAAAAAATCACTGCAATAGTTACAGTAGCACGATTATTTGTTTTAACAGAAAAACGCAAGGAAAGTTTAATAATCGTGAATTATTAAATAGCAACTTTTCGAATATAGAAAGCGAAGACTGTTGATTTCAGAGTGAAAACGTTAACACCATAAAAGATGTTCCTGCCAAAAGCAGAGTTTTAAATTCTCATTTTTTTTTATTTCAGAAAATATCTCTTAAGAAATTGTTCTATAAGTCGGCCGGCCAGACGAAACGTACTCGATAAAATCATGGTAAATTGTTTTACGATACTCGATAATCAATAAAAAAGAAGATATTCTAATGGATTTCGCGTGTTACTTAAATTTACATCTAAAAACAAGTAATGAACGAAAAAAATGAATATTTTTAGAGCGTTATCGCGATTATATTTATATTTGCAAAGGCATTTCAAAATGAACACCACTCAACTGATTAAAATGTGATCCAGATTTATGCTGGTAAAGTTTGCACTTATTAATAAATTTTTATTCCATTTCTCTCGTATATTTCATTCGAAATTTATTGTAATATACCACCTGTTCGTACCCTGATAATTTACACCAGCAGTATGTTCCACGAGCTATCATTTTTTAATTAATTCGAATTTATATTTACTGCATCGCGAATCGTTGTAATTCCTCTTTTCATATGCATAAAATAATAATAATAAATTGTTAGCTCTACGAATATATGCAGCTGATGAAAAAAGGAAAAATGATATTTCTGTAATTAGAATAACGTGAGTAATGATGCAATAATATTAATAGCAAATTCAACGGGCGATACAAATAATTCGTTAACGAACTTTAACGTTAACTACGTGGCAAAGTACTCGTAAATAACGAAAAAGAAAATTTTGTATCGAGTGCGAAGATTATATCTGCAAATTGAATAATTCACTGATGTTACGAAAGGAACATGGCGTCCATTATTAAAGGTGCGGCATCTTCCGATTGATAAAATATACTAAGTGAATTTTAGGTATACGCTTTATTTTTACAACTATTTATCATAATTTCATTCGTGACATCGCATTTTCGTAGACACGGGTGAAATTTGGAGCCGACTATTTGATCATCGACCATTCATTCAAGGTGAAATAACATTCTTCCTGCGCGAATTTCAGGTAAAGAATTCTTCTGCTTTTACTGTTAACATTGCTATCACTATGCAAGAAAAGACAGTGAATGCGTAAAAAATCGTGCATTAGACCTTATTTTTGTTAGAGAATCGATTAGTCAGTTTGTATGTACGTCAGTAATAGTTTATTATCATGCATAACCTATAATTCGATATCGAAAAAATATTTGTAGGAGAAAAGAGGCGACCGAGAAGTGGAACGTCTCTTCAAAATACTTGAATATTCGACAGAATTGAAAGAAAATCAACTCGATAGAACAGAACAACTTGGGGATTGTCATTTACCAAGCTTGAAAGCAAATGTTGATGTTGCTCTGAGCATGTGTGAAAGAGTTCTCCAAAGGGAACAAGATTTTGACAGTGTATGGATATGATATGGATAGGAATTTTACCAAATTTCTAAGAATATGTGTCATTGATATAAACATTCAATATTTTTTTTAGGATATTGCATTACAGGAAAATAGAGAAATAAGGAAACTAGAATGGGAGAAGTTTGTTAATGATATGAGCGAGAAATGTAAGAAAGTAAATCAAACTTTTGAAGAAAAAGAAAATGAAATAAAAGAATTTTACATTGATATAGAAGAAAAGTTACACATCACGTCATAAATTCATATAACTATATCATTCTTATATAGGTACAAATACAATTTGTACTCTGTAATAATTTATAACAGAAAATAGTACCAATCTTGGATTTTTAATATATGGAGATTTACTAACAATATTATTTTGTTAATAATAGAATACTTGTAGTTGGAAAATATAAAAATGCCAATTGAACCAATAAAAGATCCTTCTATAAAGATAAAACCAAATAAGAAATTAATAGAATTCATTTGTAAAAATGTGAAGAAAACAAATAGTACTCCACCTGCTATTCTTGCTTTAAAAAAGTCACATAAAGATAAGCAACAAGATATTTTATTAAAATTGGATGAATTAAAATGGTTGAACGAGTATTTAGAAACATACAGAACCGTCAACATGGAAAGTATTTATTTACATGAACTTTTAGAAGAAGATGATATCAAATTACCAACTCCAATAATTACACCAAGAAACCCTGAATTGGAAGCAAGAACACAAAAATTGAGAGCACAACAAGATGCTATTAGATATAAAGCTATGACCAAAAATGTAGATACTACTACAATGCAACTACCAGAAGACAGTATTTCTTACCAAAGTAAGTTCTTTTTAACCTAAAAGTAAATTTTTTTTTTCACATGCATTAGATTTATATTCATCTCTATGTTTTTCAGTGAAGCAGATAAATAAGCAGCTTATAGCTGTTGCACAGTTTGTGTTTTCTGTGCTGGCAGGTTTTGCATTTGGATTCATAGGTGTGGAGTTGATAGTAGGACATTTAGACTTTGGATTTAGGTTGTTATTAGGTATAATTTGTGCATTGATTATAGCCTTAGCTGAAATTTATTTCTTAGCAATTAAATTGAATGAAAATGAATATGATGCTGCTTCAGCAGCATCAGAGCCTAAGAAATTGCATCAAGAATAAAATTGTATAAATTATTGTTGTAAAAATATATTCTAAAATTAATGTCTGTGCACAAATCCTATTAAAAAAAGAAAAAAAGTGAAACAAAATTATTGATACTATGTCAATATATAAGACGACAAATTAAATGATGAAAAAAAAAAAAAAAAAAAACAGTGCATAAAAATTAATGCATTTATTTTGTATTATGTAATGAGCTAAGGTACCATGGCGCTTTTTAGATTAATGCGTTTCAAAAAATAAATAAATCCTTTACTTTGTACATTTCTTTACAATTCTTTTCCTAATGTGCCTACAAAGTATAAATGTGTTTGAATGTTAATAAACATGTTCTATTTAGTGTTCAATTTATCTTTAATGAATACATATAAAAATAGTGCTAAATATTTAAAATTATTGTGTGTATTCAATCTGAAACATTAAATACTGACAGATGGTTTAAACATTTCCCTAAAGACCAAATGTATGCAAAGTTATATTAGCTTCAGCCGAGTTTAAGATGTTCTTTAAATAATCAGAGAGCCCGTGTTTTGAAAAAATGAATGGAAATGAATATTTGTATTCCTATCTTTTGTTTTCATCTTCACTGTCACTTTTTTCACTGGCCACACTTTTGTCACTGGTGGAGTCACATTTACCATTCTCTTTTGTCTCACTTTCTTGTTCACTATTTGATGAATTATCTGCTTTCCTATCATCACTATCAGAACAAGAATCTGTATCTGACTCACTATCACTATCCGAGTCTGAGCTACTCTCTGATGAACTGCTATGTGAATTCTTGGCAGCCATCATTTCTTTGAATTGTCTGACTGTGATCTTTCTAGGCATTATTTCTCTGAGAAATTCCAATGTATCGTTAGTCTGTACCACCTCTGCCAGATGTTTGTAGTCTAAAGAATTTCCTTTGTTGTTTTGCAAATGTGCCTCTTCCGTTAGATAATGTATAAATAGTTCCTATAAAATTATATTTGTCTTTGTTTGCCTGTACTCATTATAACGGGAAAAACAATCATTTTGTAAAACTACACGTTTGCATATAACATATATTTAACAACTGATTAGTAAGTATTTTAAACATAAAACGCAGCAAAAATAAGAATTCGTAATTCACGCGCGAAATAACAAATATGGAAGCTACACAAATGCACAAAATAATCAGATTTAAGCGTCACATAACCTCAATATTTAAAAAGTAATCTTACCGTAGCTTTTGTGACTAGATATAATCCATCTTGACCGATTGTATCGACATAAGGAGAACTTTTCATAATTGTTTTTACCCTTGACATAGGTAAACGTAATTCCTTTATTTTAGCAGGAGACCCTTGTGCAGTCATTTTTACTAAAAATTGATTTCTGTTAAGATCAAACGTAAACTAATAGTACATCCGTAGCGTATGTTGATCAATTGCCGCCAATTTTTGAACTACGAACTTCACATAACTATTTGCTACGAAGCCTGAAAATATTTTGTTATTCCTTTAATTAAGTGCTATTTTTAATATTGCATATTTAATTAAATTTTACGAATGCAAATAATTGTAATATTGAAAAATCAATATAATCGAATTTTCTATACGATATTATGTATCTCTTGTTAAGAATAATTATGATAAATAAGAAGTTCTGATAATTTTTATTTAGCAATATACCAATAAAAGTAAAGGATTTTTCTTCACATACTGGAAAAAAGCAAACGTGTATTGAATTCGTTGGTAGTATTAAGATACTCTAGTGACATCTTCTTTCACTGATCGAACATTGGTGTTTCTATTTCTTTTCAATTGGCACGTTATATCCGGCTTAACAGAAATTTTTGGCTAGTGGCCAGTTGTTGCATCAATCTGACAATCTGTAACGAGTCAAGGTATATTTAATAATATTTAAGCGCTATATAATCCACATGCACATCGAATTGGTTTGTAGTATTCACAAGTGTCGAATTAATTATACTTCGTTGTACAACCATTGAATTAATCGATCAATACGGCACATGGCGGATTCGTGTTAATAATGATACAGTGAAAAATTTGCTGATTGTTCCTACACAGTTATTCAGATTGTGAGCTTATTGGTTCGTAAATGACCTCTTTTAATTTGTTTCTTTCATTTATTAAATGTATGTTTAATTTGTAGCTATAACCTACGATGCAAACCGTTATTCTTTAATTTTAAAAGCATTTGTTTTTTTATTCGTGACAACTTTTATGTAAAAATTTTATTTTTGTTATGTTCTTCCAATTTTTACATCTTATGACATTAAGGATATATAGGTTTATCTTATCATTATTTTTTTTTTTTTTCGTTTTATGTGTGACTGTGCACACTGTTAATGAAATATAATTTATTTAAAATAATTTATTTTAAATAATCATTTATGATGTACATATGTAGCTGATGCTACTGGCATAGTTGATATTAAATTTATAAATTACAGGAACACTTATCAGAATGTCAACTTTTCTTGGGCTTATTAAGGAGATACCTGGCATCTCAGTGGATCGTTTTGATGGAGCAAACTTAATGTCCTCTATACTTTTTCTTAGTCATTGTCACTTTGATCACATGCATGGTTTATCAGACATATTCTTTGAGCATATAGCTGAATATAAAAAATATCTTTATTGCAGTCCTATTACAAAAGCATTATTAGAAGCTAGATTTAAATTTAAAAGTTCGTGTGTGAAAGAAATAGATATTAATACACCTACTGTTATAGAATATGGAATAGAGAATAACGAGAAAATCCTTATTTGTGTAACTTCTGTCTCAGCAGGACATTGTCCTGGTTCTGTAATGTTTCTTTTTGAAAGGAATGACATATCAGTATTATATACTGGTGATTTTCGTATTAATTCAACGGATCTTTCAAAGTTGAAAGGTTTACATTATTCTATTGATTCTAAGTTGATACCTAGAACATTTAGTAAAATCTACTTAGATACAACATTTCTAAGTACTGATTTTTGTGCTTTCCCTAGTAGACAAGAAAGTATATTTAAAATATATGAAGTCAGTAGAAACTGGCTAAGCAAAGACCCAAGGAATGTTGTTATTCTAGAATGTTCTGCTACGTATGGTTCTGAATTTATTTTTGTGGAATTGTCCAAAATGTTAAATATGAAAATTCATGTAAGAAATGATGTATTTGAAAGTTATTGTCGTATTGCACAATTATCTTGTTATGTCACAAATGACCCACATAGTACTCTGATTCATGCTTGCAAGAAAAAAATATCGTCATCAGGTTTGCATTGTCGAGGTGATGTAAGCAATGAAAATATCATAACAGTTGTTCCATCTGTAATGAAATGGAGAAAGAAGGATACAAGTATAATAGGAGAATGGGATAAAGATAAAAAAAGAACTTTCAATGTATGCTACTCTACTCATTCTTCTCTTGACGAACTCAAAGCATTTGTTCAGTATTTTAAAACCTTAGAGATATATCCATGTGTAGTTAAAACAGATCAAGAAAAAGAAGTTTATTATTTGTTAAATACTATAAAAAATAAAGTGGATGGTCCATCACTAGTTAGTCAAGGATATAAATTAGAGCTGCCTGCTCGTAAAGTATCAAGTAAAGTTAAATTTAAATCTAAACATTTCAGTAGTGATGACGATAGCTTATGACATTGATTTATACTTGTCTAATACATTGTTAATTGTTAATACATGTGTATGTATGCATATATATACACAGATGGATAGATAGATATATATTGTTACATAATTTTTATTATTATATAAAGATTTATTACTATACACAATATTGTATATCTCCTTTTTTATGTATCGTATGCATAACAAAGAGATTGTATTTTTAATAAATGTAATTAATCAAAATTTTTTAATACTTTTATTTTCCATATTCAAGTATTTCTAAGTTATAAATACATTTAAATTAATTGAATAAAGAATTCTTGGAAGTTGTATACTTTAAGAGATTATTCTTAGTATGAGATTATTTCAAAATGTTTTGAAATGAATAAAATTTCATGTTACAGAAATTTACTCACACCATTATTGTTGATCAAATCACCTAAACCATGGAAAAATCAGCATTAGCACAAGAGAAGGTATGGTTTGACAAACCATCCTATGATAAGGCAGAACGGCTATATTTTGAAAGAATGGCTAAGGTAAGTATCTTTCTCAATGAATTGTGTATCAGTGTTATTGAACATAAAACTGATTGCCAACAGGGATAGGATTCATGTTTCTAAACATACAAACTATCGAATGAAACTAATCTTAAGTTTCATTTATTTTTACTGCTTCGCTATTGAAATAGAATTTTAATAAATAATTGTAATGTTTACAAGTATGTTTATAAACAAAACAATTTCAAAAAAAACTTATTATTGTCAACCCCAACATCCACAGCTAATGTTTGCCTTTTTGTTGTGCCTTGTATTTTTTCTTTGTACTAACAAAAAAACTAACATTTTTAACACACACTTCAGGGAATATCTGGTGATAGGGAAAATTTCATCTGTTCATAATTCCATGAGGTGTTTGGAATTTTATTTTTTATTTATTTATTTTTTTTTTTTTCTCATAAACTTAATTCCCATTTCTATTTGTGTGTTCAAATGAATTACTTAATCTTGTATTTCATTTTTAACACAAAACTCTTCTGATAAGTGTAATTGATAATATGTAAAATAAAAATATGAGATAAGCAATGTAATTTTCTGTTTATTTGTTTACAATTATGGTTACACAATTGTATTGTTTCAAATGTTCATATAATCAATGAGTTTAAGAATGCATGGATTCTTTACTAAAGGTATTTAGTTTTTGTGCAGTTATGTTCTGTAGTAACAATATAAATTAAGCATACAAAAGACATGCTTCGTTTGGTTTGTATTTTACACCATTAATTGCACAACATAAGTTCTTACTTGCATAGCTTAATGTTTCAAGGTGGTGTCTCATAAGATTATGGTAAGCTGCTCGCTTAAATCTGAAGTTTCTGTAACTAATAATTATAAGGATAATTCCTTTTTGGATAATAACTCTCTAACTAAAAACAAGTCTGAAAAATCTAAAGATATTAAGTCATTGATGTCTGAGAATATTACAAATGCTATAAAAAACACTAAGTGTCAAGTAAAAGCTCCAAAGGCACATAAAGATGTTGATGAATTGAATATACAAAAGAAAGAAAATGTAGCAGAAAAACAAAAATGTAACAATGCTGAAAATGTTCCGAAAGAAAAAACGAAGATTAATTTTTCAAATGATGCATCTGAGAATTATAATACAAAAGAGGTAAAAGAGAAAAAGAACAAAGCAGATACACGACATAGAAATAAGAAACAGAAAGATGATACTAAAAAAGTAGAAGAAAGTGTTACTCCATTAATAAGGAATAAGCAGCAGGTACATACTGTAACGCATATATATTATTCAATGTCTTGTGTGCATCAATGCAATATGTATAGAATTTAATTTCATTCATCCTAATATAGAATTCATTGCCTAGATCACTATAGAAGTACTGCTTATTATATTATATTTAAAAATTGATTGAAGGTGACATCATTTTATACTGTTTTATTTGATAAATCTCTGATCTATACTGCTTTTTAATTATTAGTTTTTTAATAGTTTTTAAATTCTTGAGTGAGCATAAAAAATATTGTACAAATATATATCTTCTTCTAGTCCAACTTTAATTTAATACTTTGCTTGCTTTTTTTTGTTTGTGTAAAAAGGGGGATTGCGATGCATGTTTGCTTCCAATTAGAAATGAATTTTGTTATGATCTCAAGCTTATTAACAATATGTTTATATAATGGTGATAAATATTTTTATTTTAACTCTTTTTCTTGTAGTAAATAGATTATTTGTTATGCTTATTATTTATTCACTTTTTAAACATTCAAAATGTCTATCTCCACTTAATATTTTTTGGAAATATTCATATATTTAAGTATCTATATTTATGAAATACAAATTTCTTTATAAGAATTATGTCTCATCTTCAATGTTTTAATTAAAATTATTTAGAAGTATATATTTTATGAAGAATTTGAATTCTAGGTATAATATAATTATATGATTATTGGGTATATAATTTTAATTTGGATAACATTATTTATAAATCTTAGTGGAGATATGATATTGAATTGTTTGTAGCAATCAATTTAGTCTGAGTTGATCTTTAATATTGCTGGATACAGGGAAATCAACAAACCACTAGTCCAATTCTATTTGCTGGTGGAAGTTTAGCCAATGAGGTTGCCAAGGCTCGTCAACATATTAAACAGTCTTTACAGTGTGTGAGTACTGCACTCTTTGCACACCTTTATATAACAAGTTTTCGAACCTGCTTACTAATATCATACCCAATATTAATACAAACTGTTGGGCATAAGATTTAATCACATAATAATAATAATTAATATTTTTTCCGTTAACTTTAATTTAAAGTACATTCTAATTTTATTTTACAGGTGGATGATATTACAACTGTTGTCGATTTTACTACTCCAAATGAGAACAAAAAGGATGTTATAAATTTTAGTGGCGAGTATTATGTTGTCTCACGCTGAATTATTTTATCAGGCACATAGTAATCACCATATTTTAAATATTTATCAACAGTCTTCCAAGAATTAAAAAATGTTGTTGAAAACTTGGGAGAACGAGTCAAATATCTTGAAGACAAGATCCAACCTCTTCTAGCTGCTGCTGCTCCAGTAGCAGTTTGTCCTGCTAAACCTCAACCAGTTTCGAAACCAGCAGAAGGAAAAACTGACGATGACGGCGATGTTGATCTTTTTGGTTCAGATTCAGAGGCAAGTGGGCAGAAATAATGGAAGACACTAAGCAGTTAATCCCCTTCTATTTACATAAATATTAAAAGTCATTTCTGCACGATACTTATACATTTAGTACACTTTACACGTGTGTTCAAGTAGGGTGCAAAAGTGATAAGATGATACGACATTTACGAAATATATAGTACACCAGATATTCCCAGAATACTAAACATTCAGCTATAGTTTACTATTTGTCACACGAATTCAACACAAACACGATCGTACAAGTATTGAAATGTAAATGTTGTCATTTATGATCTATGCTGTAAAATGTTTAAATACTTGACTTACTAGGGAGAAGATGCAGATGCTGCAAAACTTAGAGAAGAAAGATTGGCTGCATATGCCGCGAAAATAGCTAAAAGTGAGTCACGTACTTTCTTATTTCATGTATAATCGTACAATATTAAAGGTAATAACCATTTACAGAACCAGCCCCGATCGCTAAGTCAAACATCATATTGGACGTAAAACCGTGGGACGATGAAACAGATATGAAAGCTATGGAAGAGATGGTCCGAAAGATCGAGGTCAACGGTCTATTGTGGGGAGCGTGTAAGTTATTTAGCGTAAATTGTGCAATAATAAATTTGTCATCTGATTTAATTTCAAAATGAAAATATTTATTTGTTTACAGCGAAACTTGTTCCACTTGCCTTTGGAATTCACAAACTTCAGATTTCGTGTGTCGTAGATGACGATAAAGTTTCCGTAGATTGGCTTACAGAACAGATTCTGGAAATCGAGGATTATGTACAAAGCGTAGATATTGCAGCCTTTAATAAAGTATAAAATACAAACGAAGGTTCCTTCGTAGAAAAATATATGACGGTTCTAATTGCAATCAGGCATTTGTCTGTTGTGCCATCTTTTCATTCCACTAGCAATATCTACTTTGATAAATACATTATATACGTGTTCTATATCAGATGCGATTGTCCAAAAATAAGGAACCTAACTATCACTCCAATTTTAATATTCGATGTGTCAATTTATCAAATCCTTTTTAAAAAAATACTGAAGTAAATTTATAAACTGTGGTTGTACTATCAATGTATTCTTCCCGAAGAAAAGATGTAAACCGTAAATGTTTTAAACGTAATTTAATGTATGAAATTGTTACATTAAATAAGTACACTTCATTTACTATCGATGCTACCGACCATTAATGATATTGTAGGTATATAATATCAATTACTAGTACCATTTTTAATTGTTTGTTTTGGAGCATTGTTACTATAAATAAAAGTTCTCAACATAATTATTTACTTTGTTATCTCTCTTGAATTTCTTGCTTCGTTGAAATAATCCTATAGAATGGGAAAATATAGTGCTGCTCTCTGGTAGCATAAATTACGTATGAACATAACCCGAGAACTTGAAACTGTTTTGACGTTTGAGAGAGTTATTTTATCAACATTGTGTTTTCATTTCTGCTATTGAATTAAAAAATACCTACTTTCCAAAATGACTATGGCAATGCTGCAACGAAGAGCCAATGTAAGTACATATACTTGTATACGAAATTTCATGTATACATGTATCGTCAACCTAACCTATACCTTATTTGTTATTGTGTAAAAAAAACATTTTTATTTCATAGGTAAGGCTACCTCCAGAAGTAAACAGAGTATTATATATAAGGAATTTACCCTATAAAATTACTGCTGAAGAAATGTACGACATTTTTGGGAAATATGGAGCAATTAGACAAATCAGGGTGTACGTATCGTGTCAATTGTATTTTACATTTCTATGCAGCTTCTAATCGCTTATTTTTTCCTCTTTCTCTTTTTTCTTTATTCATAAAGTATCAAGAAAACCATTTAAAATTAATCAATTACTTTTATCGTAGGGGAAATACTGCTGAAACTAGAGGAACAGCTTTCGTTGTTTATGAAGATATATTTGATGCGAAGAATGCTTGTGATCATTTAAGCGGGTTTAATGTTTGTAATAGGTACTTGGTAGTTTTATATTATCAAAGCAATAAAGCATTTAAACGAGTCGATGTGGATAAGAAGATGGAAGAAATAGATAAGTTGAAAACGAAGTACAATCTAAACGAGGAAAAAAAATAACAACATGGTTTTCTAAATTTCATAAAAATTACAGAAACAGTCGGATTTTGTGACAAGAATTTTTTTTATTCGAGAACAAATCTTCCTTAGGTTTAATCGTTATAAAATAAGTATCTGAGCATTGTAGATATACGATATAAATAACTTAATAAACGATTTCATGCGCTATATGTATTCATTTTAATTCTGTGCATAATTTAGTACAGCTGTAGAAGTTCAATGGCCCGCAGTAAGTAACGAGCAAATATTTTTGTGTGGAACGCAATCGTTTCCCGCTCCCCTCCCGAGAAGATATAAAAACCGGGGCGAAAAAATGTCGACGCATTAAAAGGCTGTAATTAATACAACTTTCACAGTCAGTGGTGGAGTAGCATTCCACCATTTCCATATACCTCGGATGATAGCTATAGCTTCAATTAAAACTCTTCACTGAAATACGTTCATGTTATGCGATTCTCATGAGGCTTACGATAATGATTTAAGGATTTGGTTATTCGAAAGGATATCTAAGAATGTAAGTGGAATATAAAAGTTTGAGAAATAGAGTGATAGTATTGGTACATTGGTAAATTAATTTTCAAACGAAATTACGAACTTTCATTGATAGGTTCAGTAGAGAGCAAGCGCCTCGATTGAAATATCTATGAAGACGCGGAGGTGTGACCTCCATCAAGGTAAGGCAAAAAGATGTACCTGTCATTATGGAGTGCAGTACGCGCGTGTCACATGTAATTTAATCGCTCGACTCATCTTGTCGACACTGGCGTTTTGTAATGCGAGCTCAACAGGGCTACGTTTACTTGTCGGGATACTCGATACTGGATGCTGGTAGAAACGCGCGGTACGGTATACCGCAACACACACAACGACGCACGCGTGCGCACACGTACGCAACTCATATAGGTTCTTCGTCAGCAGCTAGCCGGCAGGACATTCGATTTCAGTCGAAAGCGAAAACCCGCTTAGCCCGTTTAGTCGTGTTGTCGCGGGGCACCGTTTTATAGTGCGGCATTCTTATGGGTGCTCCTCCTCGTTTAATCATCGACTCGAGCTCGTCATACTTGGGCCACTCGGAACATTTGAGGTACTACGGGGCTTGGTCAAATGTCGTTCGACTGTTGTGGTAGCGGCGTAGTCGCCGGCGAGACGTTCGCGGACGGCCTTGAGAACGTGTCAGGTATTCTGCAAGCAGCCTACAATAGTTTTCTCCACAACGTCGGACATTTCACGTACGGGTCCTGTTGGCAGTTGCTCGTCGTTGCTGTTCTCCTATTAATGGCCTTATGCACGGTAGGCCGTGTTCACGTCACGCCGTCTAGAGACGTCGGACTTGAAGAGTAGCGCAATCTTACGGAGCATGCGAGAGACTATTTTTGTTTTGCTGCTTAATCGCCGGTGTAAATAAGTGCGGTTTCGGAGCGATCGAATATATAACACCGTGACTCGGGAGTGCGGGGTACATTCGCGCGATTTACTTTCGCCGTATCGCAATTCTCGACACGATGTAAACAGTTTGGACGAAGGAATGGCGTCGGTCTGACGGAGTTCTCGTGTCACGGTGCCTCTGGGTATTATCGTATTTGGTTGATGCGATTCGATTCGTGGCGCTCGATTGGTCGAAGATCGTACTTTATTTGGTTAGTACGCGAGTGTGTAGTGTCGAACAGTGGGTAACTATGGTGTGTCGTCTGCTAATGTTGCTGACACGAACGTCGCCCGAGAGAAACAACGGCGTCGCGTGGAGGAGGAATGAATGAACGGGAAGAGGACGATCGAGGCGTGGCGGGAGGGGATGCGACGACCGTCGTGTTGTGACGGCCTGCTGCCTGCTTGCCGATTTGTATCGAGGTGAGAGTACGTGTATACACGTGTGTGTGTGCTTCTCTCTATGTATGTGTCGTGTGTGTTTATTCACGCGATCAACTGTGTCCACTGTCGTCACAGTCGCCGTACACTTTGCGTACACACAGCGATGTTATTTATGCGTAGTCGCGTTCACGCAATTCGTATGAACGTAATTCGTTCTACTCACGTGAGCCAGTCCCAGCGTTAGCTTGCTCTCAAATATCGTAATGCATCATTGCGACAATAGAATTCTAATTATCAAATTGAACCAATGGTAAGCTTGCACAATTGACGTTTCGAATGGAGGACCTAGTGTATGTAACGCGATGGAGTATGTATCGATACCGCGCTCTGCTCGCTTCAGATATGGCTTAATTATATCTTCGGCTCCCATGACAGTTTCTATTTCCAAGTTAAACGTATTATTTCCTATTATTCCAACTTTTCAACGCTGCCCCATTCCCCGTGTTCATTGCCATCGTTACAGTATATGACTCGTAAATAAAAGAATTTACGTAAGAAGCGAGATTACAATCGCATTAAAAACTTACCGTTCGTCTGGCTTTATACGCAGTTTCATTCGGTGACGAACCCCTTGTAGTCCTTTTGAAGTATACGAAAGTGAGCAGGTGCCAGGTACTCAAGTGAGTATGTTTGTCTGCTGTCTGGATAAATACGTCGTCGTGCTACCGGCTTTTGAGTTGCTCCTCTTTACGTTAATGCCGAGGAACTTTGTTCTCGAAGCAATGCAGCAGAGCCTAAGGCCTCTTTTATGTATATACCCGTTTTCAGACGCAATTCGAAGATCGCACAAGTGAACAGTAGACGGTTGCGTGTTTCATCGGAACGTATATTTCGTAATTTCTATCGATTAAAATTCCACGATACTCGGAAAAAGTCAGGCGTTCGTGTCAAAAACATCGTCGCCCGTCGAAACTACGTTCCACCGGCCATCGTCCCGCTCCAACCGTCAACCATGGAACTAATCGAAGCAAGATAGTCGAAAAAATGCGTGCCTTAAGGGGCTTAAGCTTTGTGTGCAATCTTGTAGATCACAGATGTCGCGTCTTGCATAGATCCTAGAAGCGGATTGCGTAACCGTAACTATACGTTAGAGGTTTTTAGTGGTTATAACATACCCTTGGTTAGATTCAAAAAGTGGAAGACGAAATTACAGTTTTTATGAACTGTTAAATATAATTATCGGAGTGTTTCGTACAATTTGCGGCAATACGGTTTATTACACGTTTTATGGTACGTAAAAGCGATTTTTCATCGAACAACGTATAATTTCGACGATAGCACAAGGTTGTGACGTATTTCGTTGCGTGACGCAGAAAAAAGTATCGAGAAATATATTTTAATCACGGATACTTATTTTCTTGCTTCTCTTTTCTCAAATGCGCGTTTATTTTTCGAGAAATCGTCGATAAGGAATAATTTTTCAAATTAAAAATGTTAATCGTCGTGCAGTAATTGAATATTAATTTTCAGGTGTGAGAGTTTCTCAAGTGAAAAACTGTGTGAGAGTTTCTCAAGTAAAAAAATGTGTGAGAGTTTCTCAAGTAACGAACTACCATGTAAATGTACGGCGTTCCGATCGGCGTTATCGTATCCGCATCGTTCTTTCTCATGGAACCAACAATTGTATCATTTATTATTCACTTTTATCTCGGAGTAACTTGTTAACTTTTAAAAAAGTCTCGATCTGAGCAGATATTATGCACTTGGGAATTTTTATTCCGAAGAAAACTATTAAACGATCGACAGGTAGGTGGCGTAAGTTACAAGTAACAAAAATACTACTCGCAAGATAATCGACCGTTAATCGAACATCGTTGAATGCGAAATTTTTAACGTAATTGTAAGTCATTGCTCGTATTTTAATGGGAATCATTAAAATATTTTTTAATAGTTTCTTTTTCTTTTAATTACAGGCGGAGCGTCCGTCCCTCGTTGGAGACGAGCAATGCGGTGAGTCTCGACTTTCCTTTCATGCCACTTTGTAACTTAAGATTGTTCGTTGGGGCTACGTTGTGGCCTTGCGCTATCCGTTTCTAATATTATTCCGTGGTTCAATAGGTTGTGTCTTAATATGCAAAGCGACGTCGGGTTAAAGCGTAGCTTTTACCGGATTTATAAGATAAGTAGTTGACCGAGTGCTGGTAAAACGTTGGTAGAATTTTTAAAGGATTGAGAAGATTAATCAAGCGCCGTCCCATCAAACTAATCGAAGTATGTTGACTTTTGATCTTCCTCGAACAGGTTGTATAACCGATCGAGCGTTTTCTTAAATGGATGCATCTCGTATGAGCAGTGTACGTAATGCACGAGGTGCATTACATGAACGTATCGGGCGAAAGATTCAGTCACGAGTAGGAACGAGTCGACGTTTGTAGGAACAATCACGAATGTTATTTGTTAATTAATAGGCTTCGTTGTAAACCCGTATCGTTCACTTGCTTTATCACGGTCGTCCCGTTGACGATTCATCCAGGCCTACGAATGGCCTTAACCGTTTGCTCCGAAAACGCGAATAAAAGAACGGTACGTGGAAAACAAGTGTGACGGCACACACACGCACACACACGCACACACACGCACGCACACTTTACATTCGTGTTTGCATTGCGTGCTGTTATGCCTAATTAGTGGCTTACCCGGTTGCATGTGGAAAGGCAACTTAACTATTTTTTCGCGTAATTAACCGATGAACACGCGTTAAACGCGTCGGCGCGTTTCTCTTTCAGCGCCGTTTCAATTTGTTCTATTATCGACGCGCGGGTGTCCGTGTTTCTTCTGGAGGGAGATTAAAAATTATTTCATCGAGCACCGCTAGACAATTGTTCCGTCTACCGCTGCGAGCGTAAACGTGTTACAATTTAGTTGAAACCCTTCGCATCGTTGATAGAAGGTTATTGTCCGATCTAATTGCCAGTTGAACTCGTCCAGTCCTGGACTCGCGGTTTCATTTACCACCGTGTGTCCTATCTCGGCGGAATCAACGCAATCTCGTTGCAGTGTGAGCGTCGAGTCTTACACGTATACGAGCTCCGACAGTAGGCATACCACTTATTCTCACGGTGCGTGCAGGACTCGAGGCAAATCCGTGCCTATTGTCGACGACGTAGTGCAAGTCACTCGACTGAATTCGCTCCGAAGATGGAAATGCGGTTGACTTTTTGGGAAGCGAGGGAAAAGGACGATCCTCGGTCAGTCGCGTTCCCACTGACCCAGCACCGTCGGTTTCGCGTTATCCGCGTAGCTTCTAGAGGACCAAAGCTGAAAACAGTGGCGATGCGCATCGATCGACGCACGATCAGCTCGTACAGAATGCCGTTCACGTTTCGATCTATCGGTTCACGGAAGTCCGCATTGACCGGTGCGCGTTATAAAAATTCAAGAATTCCACGAAGTTTCTGGTAGCGGCTAGGCATTTTGCTCGCGTGGAATGAATCACGGCCGCGATTTGAAACGCAAAATACTCGAAGGCGAGACGGGTTGGAACGGACGCGACGCTTTCTACACCGAAATTTCCGTTCGCCCTGTGAATATCTACATAATACGTCGGAAGTGGCGATCGTACGATCCCGCGTCATTTGCATCGGCTGGAATTGGCTAATCGGCAATTCCGCGTAGGTTAGCCAAACGGCCGTCGAGAATACCAGTCGATCTTCCGTGTGAACACGACCACGCGTTCCTATCGCGATAAGCCTCCATTTTCTAATCTTCCACGTTGACGATTAAATTTCCCGCGTGGAAATTCCGGACTGGCCGCGTAAACGAACGTTACGCCTGTTATTGGTATTATCGATCTCGTTTAAACGAAAATTGCCACGTCGACGTTGCCCGGGCAGATGATAGCCGACGTCACGGAGTTTAGAATTAATATTAATTATCGGGCGATCATTGGCACGATAGGGGAAAGAACGAGCGAAATTACGAACGAAACACGCTACACAAAGGAGAACGAGGTCGTCGCTCGTGCGTTATGAACTTTACATGTGAACTCACGCGTCGAGACGTTCGATTCGTTCTGCTGATTTGCCTCTGTTACTTTTAGGAGATCGAGTCTAGTACCGCGAACCATTTGTCTTCATCTTGGTCGTCATTTCTTTTCATTTGTTCCATCGGCGTGGAACAAGACCCTCCGTCACCCTATTCTATTAGCAGCCACGCAGTGGTACTGCATATGCACGGCCCTTATCGTTATTGTAGAACGATGTCCCGTTCACTGAACCTTCCTGCTCGTACGTTCTGTAGATCTGGTCGCGTAGTTGAATCGCGTATCGTTCGATTCTCTCGATTCTGCGTACCGTTTCGTGCGAGGTCAGGCCTAGCAACGAGGAGTACACGATCGGACGTTGTCAGCTCGCGAAAAATGCTTCGTCACAGACATTGAATGACACCGTAATCTCTGGCCGTGGAGCAAATTAAGACAGCCCGAGCCTAGATGCCTCTTCCTCGTTCCCATAAATTCGTTAATCAGTCAGTCACGTTCCACGATATCTCGAATACGCGCTCTTTCAAATTTTCCTCTGTCAACGTAATAGAAGACATCTCAATTTGTCGTTCGCGAATAGAGATGGAAAGAATCCAGATCTCGATTATTATTTCCTGGTCCCGTTTTATTTACCTTCTTCTACGTTGATTTAGCTATCAACATTGACAGTTCCAGAGCGATGCGTTATCGGCAGCTGCAAACGGGATAGGTGGAAAATTAGAAATTGCTCGTCTTGGCTGTTATACCCTCTGCTAAATTCATATTACTGCAACGTTCGGCCGAGAGGTTATTTCGTATGCGCGGATCGTATTCGGTTACATCATTATTAGCATTCATACATCGTGCATAGTTTGCGCGAACCTCATGATCCACGGAGCGGATCGGCCGAGGATAAAGTGCCGCGACTTTGGCTCGCCGCGAAATCTGTCAATGAAGCGGTTTCTATCGGCGCTCTTGCATGCGTGGATTTCTAAATGAAAGAGAGAGCAGCGGAGAGGAGAGCATGCGTTAGTAGTTCGTCCCACATCCTAGAAAAAAGCGGGTCACGTGGACCATGGTTGAGTCGCCGACAGGACAACATTGCTCGGCAAGGACGACCGCCATCATCGACGCCGTTGTCGACGTTCATTGGCCTAAATCGCGGCATCGCTATTCACTAACGTGTAGCATGCTAATTCGCGCTAGTAAAAATGCTAATGTACCGTCTCTCGTTTCGATCGAGCGTTTCTTTTTCGCTCTGTTCGATTGTGCCGCGTTTAGGTAGTAGTTTAGGTAGCGACTTTCATATTTTACAGCGCCCCTCGTAAAATCTTATTAGTCTTCGTTTCGCCTGCGAGGCGTTGGATCGTTTATCGAGGCGCTGATACGAACGATCCCGTGTTTTACGAGTCGGTATTGCTCGACCGCCCCGTTGGCGTGTAACGATAGTTGGTATTTCCTTGCAACAAAGTTTGCCGAGGTGGAGCCAACCGAGTTAGAAGATCATCGTAATCGATAACCTCGCGCAATAAAATTTCATCGTAGAAACAGCGCGCGTTCTCTCATCGATTCGCATAATTACGACGCTCGCGAGATTTCGCAAGGTAGAATCGATAATCTGGAATATCAAGTTTCTCGACTCTAGGATTCGCAATCGAAAAGCCTATGTATAGCGCGAGGAGAAGTTTTCTCCTGCTCCAATTCTATTCACGGAAGTTCAGTTCCGTCTAGCGTTCCTTAATGGTTAAAGGTGACGTTCAGCGGAACTCGCACGAGATTCGCGCCAACTTCGTTCCATGGAACGGAGTGGTCTAATGATTCGTCTTAAAGTCGAATATATACGCGGCAGCTGCGAGCTGCCTGCGCCTCTTCGCTTATTTCCCGAAGCGTTAATTTGCACGTGCCGTGGCGCCAGAATCTACGATTTCGGGAACCCTCGGCTGCACGCCGAGTATATACGTTCCATCGGGAACTTCCGAGTACTCGCGGCGAGGTACACCGGTGTTCGGCAACGAAAGCCTGCAGATCGAATTGGTACGTCGAACACGCGGAAACAGGGCGTATTTTCGTGGCACTTTGCGTGACGAAAGATATCCCATTGGGCTGTTTAAGAGGGAGTCGTAAAATCTAAAACAACCCTTCGTGCTCTCGTTATTTCCAGATTGACGACGCAGATACGCGCCATTCCACTTGCTATTTTCCTCCCGCTATAAGTAGGCTAATCGCTGGAATTCGCGGGCGAACGATCTGCTCGCTCGATAACGCGGAGGAACGTGCATCCGCAATTCGACGCGATTCGACGCGATTCGACGCGATTCGGCGCGATTGGATGCCATCTAGGTGGTAAAAGAACGGGCCAGGGGCGATAGATGGGATCAAGCGAATATTCCTCGGACGTTTTAAGGTGAACGGTCTAACGTTGATTAAATGCTCCGCTTCTCGGTGTCACTGAACAGTGATTCGTGTTAAAGAGCAGCATTTCATTCGACCGCGTCGTGAGAAGGCGCAATGAATTTCACCGAAATAACCTTTTGCTCTACTCTTTTCCTGCGACGTGTCTTCCCTTAATTGGTTTCGGAGGCACGCGGCCGTTGCGATCATCTCGGTCCTCTTTGTCCGAGGCGAAACGAATAATCATCCCGGTGGTTTTTAATTTCTCGAAAGACGGTTTGCAGAGGACGGCGGTTTGCCCGGGGCGCGAGTGGCAGAAGGGGTGGTCGAATGGAGGACCACGGTCGAGGAAGCGGTTATTGGCAGGATCGATGATCGCGATTCCGTGAAGCGTGAAAGGTCGGGACCCGGTCTCCTTCTCTCTTTCCGCTCAGACATTCGGAGTAACAGTGGAAGGCTGTACGGTCGGATTGTTTTCATCCGACGAAAATGGCTCACCGTGAAAATAGACGTCCTCCCTGCCGTGTGCGTGCGCGCGTAGAAATGGGGATGATGCAGTTGGCCTGGATAAAGGTCAGTGGCCGACCTAGCCCCCCAGCAG